TTTTATACTTTTTTTAAATATTGAATTTAAAAAAAAAATTGGATCACCATATATATCTAAATCATAACAAATTATTTGGCCAATACTTAAAAAATTACAAAAATTATTTTTTTTAAAATAAAAAATATATTTTTCTTCAAAAAAAATTATGTTTAAAAAAAATAAAAAATAATTTTAAAGGACAAAATTAAAAATATTTTTTTAATAGACTTTTGAAAAGAGTTTGGCTCTGAGTTTTGAGTTATGTATTTGCTTATGATGTTTGAAAATAGTTTTTAATTGAGTTTTGAGTTATATGTTTAATTATGATTTGAGTGTGGAATTATGTTTACAATTTAAAATATTAAAAAAATTAAAATATTTACAAAATAAAATAAAATATTTAAATAACAATTATATATTTAAAATAAAAATAATAATTTTTTCTTAAATTTTTTTAAATATTAAAAAAAATAAAGTCAAAATACAACTCAAAATTCAAAAATTCAAAACTCTTCTCTAAACTCTTTTCAAAATTCATAACAAAACAAATTTTCTCTTTTCAAAACTTAACTCACAACTTTACATTTAAATCACAATTCCATACTTAAATTATAATTCTAAAACTAAACCAAAAATGTTTAAAGCTGAAACTACAAAGTGAATTTTGCCTACTATATCGTTTTTTTGAGAGTTGTATGATACGTAGGGATGTAATCGGTTCAGGACAATTGGTGTTTAAGTAAAATTTTGGACCGAACCGATAAGGTTTTATTATATTGAAAACCGATAGATCGAATTTTTTTTATCAAATTGCACCGATTCAAACGTTTGACTTAATACGGTTTAATCGGTTTAAGTACTTTCAAAATGAGTCATTTCTTAAATTTATAGTATAATAAATAATTTATATAAAAATATTAAATTAATCATTTATACACAATTTTAACCATATCCAATCCAACCATTTACCAAAATACAAACAAAAATAAATAAATAAATACTAATGCTTGAAGAATTAGAAATAAAATACAATTTAAGAATCAAAGTCTCAACATCAAAACATAACCAAAACTTAAAACAATAATTTTATTATATGTAAACATCCACGGTCGATTTTGGTAGAAATTGGTATACAATATGTCAAAACCAGTACCAAATTAAAAGTTGAAAAAAATGATAATTTTCAAAGCCGAACAGACCAATTCGTATTAAAAAACTAACCAAATATGATAAGTTCGATCCGATTTAATTGGTATAGTCAGTTTTTTTTATTTTTCTTGCATGCATAATGATAAATAAGTTATAATATTTCGTGATTTTGATACTATTTACTATTCTATCTTATAATCAAATCACTTTTAAAAACATAACCAAAAATTACTTAGATTATAATTTAAATAATAATTATAATGGATCATAATTATAAAAAAAATTTATCTCCACAACCACAATGAATCATACTTATAGCAGCGACATCTAACTTTTAAATAATAAGATATGACAGGGATTCACAATTTAAATCTCTAAATTTATCTACAATGATGTGACAATGAAGTTAAACTTTACAGAGTTTAATGAGTGACAAATTAAGAATTGGCATTTATCTTGCTACATCAATATTTGTCAAATTGTAAGAGTTTTTTAAGGATTTCAACCATTTTCTTAATCAAGGATTACAAAAGATCATAATCAGACACAGGTAAGCCAACCCAAAAAAAAAAAAAAAAAAGTGAGTGTTGTGGAATTGAGTATTTGGGGTTAGCTTTTTTTAGTAATCTTTCTTCTTTTTATTTTTAGTAAACTTTTTTAAAAAATTACGCTTTTGATTTTACTTGACTAGATAAATTGAAAAAGTTTTTTTTTTAAAAAAAAGGTGCATAAAGGACCCCCAAAAAAGCAAAAAAATAGTTGACGGTGTATTTATATGATTCCAAAAATAAATAAATAAATAAGAATGGTATAAAAATATAATATACGTATTGAGGTTTGATTAAAATATAAATCATCCTATGTGGTTCTGAAAATTACATTTCATCCTTGAGGTTCTAATTTCATAATAAATTGCCCATTTTATTGATAAATTATCGAGTCAATTAACAGTTTTTAATAATATTAAAAATATGTTTCAATTAATAATTTAAGCAATTTTATTATTGTATATGATAGAGCAATTACGAATTTCATTTTTTTAGTTAATTCTGTTAAATAAAAAATTCTAACAAATGAATACTTGTAATTTTCTAAACCACAAGAAACAATTTGTACTTTAATGCTGTGTTTGGTTGAAAGATTTGAGAAGAGATTTAGGCATTGTTTGTCATAATCTAAAAAATTCAAAAAGTCACTATCCTATTTAAGTCACATCATCTTATTTAAGTTACATCACTTCTTTATTACACCACTTCAAACTCAACCCATATTTTATAAAAATTCAAAAAATGCACTTATTGGGATCATCTCAAACAACCCTTTAAAAAAAAATGAAAAAAATATATGAAACATAAATATATTTTATTCATATTTTACCTTCTTTTTTCATTCTCCTTTTTAATTCCTTTTCCAAATCTCGTAATTAAACACAACATAATAGTGTTTTGAAAAGTTGATAAAAAATTGATTTTTTTGACTTTTTTGATAACTTTTTAGTAAAAAGTTGAGTTCTTTTAGATAAAAAAAAATTAGTTTTTTTGATTAAAAAAATTAAAAAGTTAAAAAAATCAAGTTTTTTAATCTCTTCCCAAAGTGTCCCATAAATAAATTTCAAAAGTATATTTATAATTTATTCACAATATACAACAAAACATGATTGGTTTGGCAAATAATTACACGGTGTTAATGGCGGGGGGGTGGGGTGTGTTGTTGCGTGAGAAGTGAAACCAAACAAGTACGAGAAAGGAAGATCCAAAATGAGGGACAAAAAATTATACAATACAAGAGAACAAGGATGAAATCCCAATAAACCCCAAATCAACCCAGCTGTAACTCTGATGTCCGTTATTGTTGTTTATCGCTGTCTCTGTTTTAACCATCCATGTTCCTCAGCAGTAAAATTTTCAAACCTTATCTCTTATCTTATTTGTACTTAATTATTTTACTACTCCAGAAACAGACACTGTGCAAAATTTTATGATTAAAAAATATTGATACATTTTTATTATATAATTCTGGGATAAATAATGATTTATTTAGATCATGTTTGTCAACGTACTTGCAAGAAGTTAATTTTTGCAATATATATCAAAAAGCAGCCAAGTATTTTGCCATTATCTAAAAAAGTATATAAATTATAAACACATCTTATGAGGTTTATTTAAAATATATATTATTCCTTATAATTCTGAAAATTACATTCTACTCTTTCAAATTTCTAATAATATAATAATTGATCTATTTTATTAATAAATCATAAAATAATTAATAATTTTTAATGATATCAGAAATATATTTTAATTAATAATTCATGTAATTTTATTATTGTATAGAAGAGTAATTACAAATTTTATTTTTTTCTGTTAATTGAATTAAATAAAAAAAATCTGATAAATAAGTATCTATAATTTCTAGAATCACATGAAATAATTCGTATTTTAGATAAACCTTATGAGGTGTATTTGTAATTATCCAAAAAATATATATCACCTCAAAAAAATTTTCACTTACAAAAAAAGAAAAATCCTCCTTCGGCATTTTCTAAACTCATTAATTTAAAAAACTACTAAAAAAATCAAAATGTTACTAAAATGCAACCCCAAACCTACTTTTAATGTGTTAAAATTTTTTATGGGTAAATTACACCCACCTCAATGAAATTTAGAGAAAATATAACTAGTTCCATATTTTTAATATAATTATACACACCTCCCTTGTAATAAGACCAAAGTAACTGAAATGCAGATGATGAGTAGACACTAAAATAAACAAAGTTTAATATATATTTCATTAGAAAAAGAGATAATAATATTATTTTTTTGTACTCATACAACTAATAAAAAAAACTAATGAAAAAGAGCATAGCAATTGTAGATTAGTATAATTATATTAAAAATGTAAAATTAACTGCATATTTTTTTTTCTTCAAATACTATCAAGAGAGGTGATTGTAATTAATTAATTTATTTTTATATATTTGGCATAATTTATATTAGCATTCTTTTTCATCTTTTAAAGATCATATTATCTCTTTATTTTTTTTTATATTTTTTAATAAAAAATTAAAAAAATATATTTATTTACGTCCTTCGAGCATCCGCATCAATCTCAATAAATTTTGAGTCAAATTATAACCCAAAGTTCACTTTCTTTTTTTTTAGTTAGTCACCTTTTTAGTACTCACTGCATCAAACTCTCTATTCTAACTCAATCGTATTAAATATTAATTTCTTATTGTATTTGTTATTCTTTATTTTTTTTATTAAATTGATGAGGTGCCATCCAAATAATTCTTAAAAAATACAACAAAAAAAAAATTTGCCATTGACCCGCCGGTCGACCGGTTAGACGAATTTTCGGCATTTTTTCTTCTTCTGCTACAGGTACTCACGGGACATCCGGTGAGATATCTAGAACGACGTCCGGGTGAAGGACCAGTTTAAAGATTTTAACTCAATTTTATTCCAGAAAATATAATAAAAAATCATGTAACTAATAGACAGTGCCTCAACAAAATTGTTGAGGTATTGTAATAAATTTAATAAAAAGTTAATATACAAAAAATTTATTATGCCTGATGAAGGAATAATTTTATGATACTAAGGCCAAGTTTGGCATAACTTAAATAATACAAAAAGTCACTATTCTATTTAAGTCACATCATCTTATTTAAATCACATCACCTCTCTAACACATCACATCAAACCCAACCCATATAAGTCAATAAGTCAAAAAGTACACTTTTTTAAAACATCCCAAACCAACCCTAACTATATTTTATCTTTTTTGTTATTTTGCCTATCCTTGATGCGGGTGCTCTTCCAAATAAACTCTTATTTTCCTCAGTTTGTTTTTGCAATCTCATCCCAAGAAGTACGGCTACACCACTGTTTTCTCTTTCTTCTATTATTATATGACTTCGCTGTTATAGAGAGAATTGAGAAGAGGAGGCTCAAGAAACGAGGTTGAGCCTATTCCCTTTTCGGTGCCTCCTTTCCTTCTGCCCTTTTAATCCTTGTGCTACACTCTTTTAACCATCCATGTTCCATCACCATCTCAAATCTCTCGCTAGTTGAGAAAAAACAGAGATATAGAGAGAGAGAGAGAATAGAGCTTAATATATATATATATATGCACAGTGTCTTTCACTTCCTGAACCTTTTTGCTCTTTAATAACCACAACCCTTTGCATATTTATTATATTTCACATCTCAATCACTACATCTCTCTCCCATCTTTTTCTAAAGTTTTTCTCACCCTCGCTCTTTCCCTGAAATGGGCTCCAACCAAAAATTTATGTGTGGCCATAAGCTTCATCATCTTATCATTTCTTTCCTCTTTCTCTTGATTTCAAGCTGGACCCAACTGAGATTCATTGCTGAAGGTAATTAATGATCTTTTTAACATCTTTACATTACATATATGAGGTGTCATCTTTTTCTTTAATTTCTTCTTATTATTATTTTTTAATTTGGTACTATGCTAGCGCATTAGTAAATTAACACAACTGAGTATTCGATTCAATACTTCTCTGTAAGCTCGAACCTGAAATTTAAGTCTAAAAATCTAGTCGTACAATTGCTTTGAGCTGCTCATTTAAAAAAAAAAAATGTATTTTCAGCTAGAATTTCTTGGTTTTTTAACAGCAATTTTGTTTGTCACACAGGTAGAACAATTTTCAGACCAGTTGATCATTCCCAGGTCAGTTGTGTGTCTCTGTGTGTGTGTGTGTGTGTCATTGATGAATGTATTATGTTTTGGGGTTTTGTTTATTGAATTGAATTGGACATTAATTGCAGGAAGAGAAGGCAATGTTGAGAGGGCAAATTGGATCGAGGCCGCCAAGGTGTGAGAGGAGATGCAGTACATGTGGGCACTGCGAAGCGATTCAGGTGCCCACTAATCCCCAAACGAAAACTGGGAGTAGTAGAAGAGGGAACTCTTTTTCTTCAAAAATGTCATATTCGTCCTCCACAACCATAATCCACTATGACAGAGGTGGTGATGACAGTAGCTCCTCCAACTACAAGCCCATGAGTTGGAAGTGCAAATGTGGGAATTCCATCTTCAACCCTTGATGATCGTGATCGTTACTTCTACCACTATTTTACTATTAAAGTCTTTCAATCTTGTACCACCTAGCTACAGCACTTTCTCTGTTTGTTGTGTCGTTTTCTTTTCTTTTTTTTTTGGTTTTTTAATGTTGTGGCAAGCTATTTGATTGTATAATCGTGTTTTTCACTTTTGTTTCACATTGCTCCTGTAATTTTTCTTCCATTGTTGTTTATATATGAAAATTTATTCCTTGTGATTAAGTTCTGCCAGACTCAGTTGACCTATGATTTGAACCCATGCTTTTGCGCAGCTTTTATTTTATTGATTTTTTTTTTCTTATTTTTTGAACCGTCTGGATCAACTGTCTAAATTAAGAAAATGACAAACAGATATAAGATAAAAATAAAAAAGGTTTCAAAATCTACAATTTATTTACAAATTGTTCCAATATTATTAGTAGGAGAAAGAGGAGAACCAAAATATTTGGAGTAATTTTAGAGGTGTAAGACCATCTCCAACGGTTCATCAAACTTGGTATTAAATTCAAAATTTGATGAAAAAGTCACTTTTTTGAGCTCCAACGGTTTCACCAAATCGATATCAAATCCAGAATTCAGCAAATATTTTACCAAAATGAGAACAGGCGAAGCATTTTACCAAATCACTGTTCCTAACCGTTGGGAGAGACTAACCGGTCAACCAGCCGGTTGCCCGGCCGATTGACTAACCGGTCGACCGCTTAAAGGTTCAAACGGTTCGAAGAAAAGATTCAAACAGTAAAAAAAAAAAAAAAAAAAAAATTTGCCTAACCGGTTTGATGAAAAAGTCACTTTTTTGAGCTCCAACGGTTTCACCAAATCGATATCAAATCCAAAATTCAGCAAATATTTTACCAAAATGAGAACAGGCGAAGCATTTTACCAAATCACTGTTCCTAACCGTTGGGAGAGACCAACCGGTCAACCAGCCGGTTGCCCGGCCGGTTGACCAACCGGTCGATCGCCTAAAGGTTCAAACGGTTTGAAGAAAAGGTTCACACAGGAAAAAAAAAAAAAAAATTTTTTTGCCTAACCAGTCGACCACTAAAAGGTTCAAAAAGTTCAAAAAAAAAAAATCAAAAAAAAAAAAAAAAATTTCGCTTAACCGGTCGACCAACCGGTTGTCCCCGGCACAAATTTGATGAAAGTGCACCGTTGGAGCGAGTGGTATCAAATTTGGTAAAATGAATCATTTTTTACTCAAATTTAGTGAAAAATTTGATTCACCGTTGGAGATGCTCTAATACTATAAAAATAATTAATCGAAGATGATTGTGTCCTTAATTTTGACTTTGGGGATTGGATATTTTCATCAGCAGATTCTGCCTCTGGAACCGGGCGTGCATATATATGCATAGATAGATGATACATACAGGCACCGTTTGAGAAGGTGGGTTGGAGGCTTTTTTGATTATTTTAGCCATAAAAAATAAAATAGGCTATTTTAGTTATAACAAACAAAACATCACATCCAACCCATAATCATTACATTCTTCTCTCACAAAAAAACTTAAAAAAGTCAAAAAGCCAAAAAGCCCTTCCCAAACCAAGCTTTTAAGCCCAGGCTAAAATAGCCAAAAAAGCCAAAAAGTCAAAAAGCCAACCCACTTCCCAAACGGAGGCACAGTCATATAGATACGTACAAAGCTTGCAAAAATCAAATACTCATACATAAATACATGTGTTTATCCAAAGAAAATTATATATATATGTATATATACATTGTGTATATTGCAGTACAAATGCGGAGAATCCTCGAAGTGTCACAAGAAAAAAAAGAAGATGGTGGAGTACACCCTGACCCTGATACCAGATTTGATGACAGTAGTTGCGGATTTTGTGCATAGAATTTAATATATCTGCCCTGTTATTTTACTGGACCCCCAAAAAACAAACTCACATTAGATTGTACTCAAAATCATTATCTTTTTTTCCCCTAATGATAAGAACGCATTACTCTTCATGAAGGCACCGTTGGCTAATTCCATCAACACTAACCTCAAAAAGTAATAATAAAATAAAATGCTCATAATCAATTTGATGGAGTTGTGCTTTTTGCACACCACCATTCTTTGTTGTTCACACTTCCTAAAATTTATTCAATTATCTTTAAGCAAATTACAACTAAGGACAAAAACTTTCCAAAATTTACTCAATTATAATTGTCTTTAAACAAATTACTACTAGGATAAAAGCCACACACATTTCCTCCCAATTCCGCCACTACTAAATACCGCTATGAACTCCTAGCCACCACTACTACTGTCCCACTAGATTTCCAACCATTTTGACGACCTCCAAGTTCCCGAACTTTGCCAGCCCCTCCTTAACTCTTACCAAGAAGATTAAGGCAGAAAAGGGACTGGGGAGGGGACGATTTAGAAGTCGAATGTGGGTGCTACGGGAAGGGGCAATGCAAGCGGTAATGAGTGGCAGGCAGTGTTGACAAATCGGTTAAGATTAAAGTTAAGGCTTTGTTTAATTAGCAAAATTAACAATGAGAGGATTAATAATATATGAGATTAGTGTATGATTAGTTATATAGTTAGATTAGTCAATTTGGGGTTGTTGCTGTGCATGGTGCGCAACAACAATTGTTGCACGCCTTATTGGGTCCATTTCAGGGTCTAATTCGATAATTTAAACCGTTCATATTTTAGAAAGTATCGAGTAGAATATACCTGTAAAAAATCACGTCAATCGAATATCGTTATCTTTTTCATCGAATCACATTTGCATTAAAGAGTTTTATATTTCAAATTACATCTATCTTTTTTTTTTAAAATACAAATGTGATTCGATGAAAAGGCCAACGATATCCGATTAACGTGAATTTTTACAGGTATATTCTACTCAATACCTTCTAAAATGTGAACGATTCAGATTATCGAATTAGGCCCTGATATGGGCCTAATAGGGCGTGCAATAGTTGGTGCGCAGTAGCAACCCCAAACTCTAGATTAGTAGGATACATAATTCCCTCTTGTCTATGTTTGTTTTGTGATAAATATGGAGATATATAATATTAATTATATGTTTGTTTTGCATTATTATAGGATAAAAAAATCAACCAATTTCATTGGATAGAATGTCCATTGAAATCTAATTCAAATAACAAAAATTACAATCAAATAATAGAATGTGAGCCTTATGAATTAATAATCTCAATCCTATGCTATAATATGCCTTATCAAACAGGTGCTAACAGTTTACAACAATGTTACATCTTTTTAATTTATCATCCTTAACTGACCATTAATGATATAGCATTGAGGTTAGATCTCACATGATAGAATATTTAACAAATCAAAATTTGACACTGATCAGACACATCATTAGGGTCGTTTTTAGGGCTAACAAATTAGGTGTCTCTAGCATTTTCCAATAGCTTAAATGTTGAAGATCAAAATATTAGGCGAATTATCAAACACCACACCCCCCCTCCAAAAAATATATATATACATATATATTCAAAATTATATGTTGTGTTAATGAAAAAGAGAGGTGTGAGAATAGAAAGCTCGCACTTGAAAGAAATCTCCACTAGCATAACTCCCTCCGTATTAATGGCCCCTTCAAACTGTTAGTGTGGGGTACTGGTGCTGCTTTGCTGGGGTACGGAGGCAGAGTCAGGGGGGGGGCAGAGCAGAGCAAGGCAGCTGTCATTAGTTATTGGTCCAAACCTGACAATCTTCAGGGAGGAAGGAACAGAAGTTGGCAGATATGGCCTTGATTTGCTATTCTCAGAATATCATATTGTGTTATCATTCTACATCACCATCCCAATCTTAAATAAATAAATAAAATAGATTAAGAAAAAAGAAAAAGTAAAAAAAAAGACACTGATATAATATAGAGGGCCGGCAAAGAAATTGATCGAGCATACGTTAGAGCTACTATAAGCCTACATTTTAAGATATAGAGTCCAGCTTTTTCAGCTTTACAACAACAACAAACAAATCTCAACTCCAAACTGAAATGGTTTTTGAGTCTACCAAGAAGAATAGGCACCTCTTTGCTTTGGTGCTCATCACCAAAATAAATATTAAGGGTGTGTTTGGATCATGAATATGAGTGAAGATTTGAAAAGGAAAAAAAAAAAAGTGAGTGAAATATAAATAAAATATATTCACATTCTGCTCACCTTTTCATTTTCTTTTTCCAAATCCTTATCCCAAATCAATGCTCCTAGGGGAGAGAAAAAAATCATATAGAAAGTGAATTCATGGGCAACAATGGTTCTGTTTTCACTTAAAATTTCATTTTGGTTTCATAGTCTGAAATGCGTCTTCCATCAACATATAGCATTTTAAGCTATGTTTGGAATCACACATTTCGGAGTGATTTTCTTTCACAAATATTTCCTCAAATTCTAAATCCAAATACAACCTTAATATATCCTTTGGCCTCTTTTGGGAAGCCAAAAAAAAACAAAATCAATTTATGAACTTATTGACTTATTTGGATCACATCACCCCTCTACTTTTTGTACGTCTTTTCATAATAAGTTAAAAAACCACCTTATAAGCCACTTTCCAAAACAAGCCTTTATCCTTTTACATCTTTGTATTGAGATAATATTTATCACCGAGATGAGTTTTCTTGATTTGTTTTCGCTCATTGTTTTTTTGATATGATGAGTTCTATACTCGTACATATGCATTTGTTGTGTGAATCTATGTACAATGTGACAAAAAGGGGAAGAAAAATTACATTAGGAAATTTTCTCAATAAACAAACACTTCTTAACATTGTAAAAAAAATTACCTTAAACAAACACTCCTTAACAGTTCTATTGAACTACCCAAACACTCAACAAACACCTAAAACACAAAAAGGTACCCAACTTTTACCACTTTTATCAAGTTATAACACAACACACAATGTTGACTTATGGATTGAAGATCGTCTTAGAGATGTCTTCTAGAGTTTCAACACCAGCATGCCCCAACTGGATCAGTCTGTAAACTAAAGACAATTGAAAAGGCTTTGTTTTGAGGTGATGGGGCTGTTTTAAGCAAGACAGGTGATGGGAAATATCATTGGATGTTCCTTTCCTAATGTGTATAAAAAAGTGCATATTGCTGCTGCATACTTAAAATCAAATACCCTACAAATGCATGGCGTGGATATAATTTTCTTGCAGACGTTACTAAAACAAAAGAGTAGTAGTAGTTCATAACGTGCAAGTACGTACCTGCATTTAGAATCCCACCCACCTCTGATCTGATCCTTTGAATGACAAGTCATATGAAACCTGCATATGCCAGATGGAAGGCCCCATCGATCAGTGACCAATTCCTAAAGACAGAAAAACAGGGGAAGATTATCAGATGAAACAATCACAAAAAGGAAAAATTGCATTTCAGTGGAGCAATAGAGAAATAATTTCATTTTCATGGTGTCCATATTTGTGTTTGGTATAAGTCTTTTCTGTGTGTCAGAGTTACACAAAAAAAATATTTCTATTTGTAGTGCAATTATTTTGTGACTGTCCCCCTATTTGCAATTTGGCCTCAAGGTAATGGCTCTTTTCTAAAAAAAAAAAAGTTACAAAAAAAAAAAAAAAAAAAAAAAAAATAAATTTTATATTTGGACAAATTTGAAATTAAAAAAAAAAAAAAAAAAAAAAAAAAAAAAAAAAAAAAAAAAAAAGAAGAGAGGAGAAAGGTTTGGCACCTACTAAAATCAATTTGAAGGTCTGTAATATAACTGTTATGATTAACCAAAATAGCTATCCAGTTTCTATGACCATCTTTCCCAGATCAAATAAAACACATGGACAAGTATGTTTAATAGGAATAACAAACCTAAGGAGTCCAAAGAACTGTGTCTGAGGCTGTGATCAAGCCATTGTAAAGATAAATTATACACGTGATACAAAAACAATGAATGCAAAGTCAGCTATTCAATTTAATATAAGTACAAAAATTGGACTTCTTGGTGCCCCAACTAACAGATATTTTATGTTTGTTGCAATAAAAGGGATGCTACATGAAGAACAAATTAACAAAACTACTGATCTGAGATCTGGCTTTAGGTTTTACAACACACTTTCAAATCATACTCCCTCAACCAAACAGTCATCAGTTAGAATTGACGCATATCTGCAACATGTTCCCCTTAGCATGCCACGGCACGGCAAGAATGTTAGGATCAAGTTACATGAAATTTCAGAATATCAGCAAATTCACTTTGTCTCCAATGCTTAAACAGTTGAATCATCATACAGAAACTCTGAGCTGATCATGAAAGAAAGAAATAAGTCCAAAAAATGAAACCTCATATCAACTTCAAACTCAACAACGAGGAAGACTAGATGTGAGCTAAGACATGAAAACTTGGAATTTCTAAATGTTGAGTTAGAAATGGTGATCACGAGATACTCTGTTTTATCTTCTTTCCCCTATAATGACACAAGAATAAGGCTTCAAGATTGTACACTCCAGCTTACACCAAGTAGAGCGAAGGTAGGAAAATCTCATGCCATGATGACGCTAAATCAATAAAGAAATTTTGTTCGATAGTTCCCCAGCACATACACAAACTTAACTTCAACGGATTCTTGAGAAATGCCAACCAAAGTGTTTGCATGTTTAGAAATAATCTATAAAAGAGATGGGCCTGAAAACATTCCACTGAAGGTTTCCACAAAATGCCATACGCACCACACAAACTACTTTTATTGGACCAAATCTGAGCGATCAAAGCCAGAACAAGCTTTGACATATCTGACAACCTGAGGATTTTGAAAACTATTAAGAATAAAACCATTCCACATTTTTGGTTAACCAAAAATAACAGAAAAATGTAACATCAGCGGTTCTGGCATTAGACCAAACTTGATCCACATACAACATTTTTTAAGAAAGAAGGAATTATTTAACAGTACCACAGCCGAGATGCTTCCAACAGTTGATCAAGCATGACAAAGGCAGACTCGAGCAAGAATTGGAAATTCTTGATAAACTAAGGAAAACCAGGACATCAGACTTTGGATCTACAAGTGGATCCAACTGAGCCAAGATAAAATGACACTTGAACTTTCTAAGAAAAATCAAATGGTAATACAGAATATGTATATCTACTACTTGATCTATCTAGTCCAAGACAAAGTTTCAAGATTCTTGAAACAAAGTACAACCCTGACGTCAAACACTCAACTGTTTAATGCATGCTTCTGATCCCTCCTTCCACAGCTTCAATCCACTTCATTTTCAGCTTTCTCCTATTTTTGTCTATATGGCCGGCACTTGTTTGTTTGCAATCTCTTTTTCTCTCTTTCAACTCATCTCAAGTTCTCTTTACAAGGGAAACTTTATGTAGTAAATGGCCCATTTCCAATCTTAAAGACTCTCACCATCTATTCCTAATCTGAATTCTGAAGCCACATAACTGTACTCAATTCACACACACACAGCGGAACATGCAGCAGTGGTGATTTCCATTTCTCTCTTCTTTTCTTTTCTTTTCTTTTTCCTTTTTTAAATTTTATATCAGAGCAACAAAAAGATAATTCATTAATACTGAAAAAAGAGGTACAAAGAGAGGACAAGATGTCCTCTTACACAACATAAAAAACCACGATAAAGCATATCAAAGAAAAGATATGAAGATTCACAAACAGCTTTCCAATCTTCGGAAATCAAAAAAAGTGAAACCCCTTTAAACAAAGGAGAGACATGAGCCTAAAACGAAGCCAAATGACACTCTCTCTCCCAAATTGAATCCAAATATGCGACCACAAAGATTCTCACATTCCTTTCCAACCAAATAATCCAAAAGATCGCAAAGACAACACAATGCCGCAGCATTTTTGCTTTCTTGTTGCTGCCAAAACCAAGGAAATCAATTAAGAGCATATTTAACATTTTGTTACTGAATCCATTGTCATGATATATTCACCCTTTCATTGCCTGAACTAAATGCAAGACCTTTGTACTGCAAATTTTCTCAAAGGATCCGGCAACAGAGCAAAAACTTAAATTAGTTCGGGCAAGCCAAGTTCAACCAAAGCTCATGAAATTCAACATGGCTGAGCCTGAGTCTGAGCATGAGCTTATGAGCTTTCATTGAAGATTGGATTGGGATAGGCTTCAGGCAAATGATGGTATACCTCAGGGTTGCGCCGGTTGACCCCACACACCCAAGCTGCCCAAGATGCAGCTCTACTAGTAAGAGAAAACATACAAAGGGGTTGTCAGAGGAGATGTAAGGTTATTTCCTATATTTGCTTCACATAGACTAACCAGGATAATTTTATAAGCCAACTAACTTTCAAAATCAGGATACTCTGTATCTAGAACTTTAAAGGAATAAATGAATGTGAAAATGTTAAAAATGTTTCAGTCTTTCTTGCCATGACAAGAGGAGCAATATGCAAGTGGTCAAACAGATATGGTAAAATGCTGAAGATGTAAGTGGAATTGTAATGTGTTCGAATAGAGAGATTTGGTTTCTGCTTCAGTTCTAGTAGGTAAACCAATATAGTATTTCTCAAAAGTATACCACAACTAAAATATTAAAGAACAAACAAAATCAACTATTAGATCTTCCAAATTATTTACAAGTTGGTTACTTAAATTATAATAACAGACCTTGTTAGAATGTCACAACTATCGAATAATCAAGTGGTCATGTGACTTTCAAGAACTCATACTAACTGTAATCATGATTAGTGTCGAAGAAAGGTTGGTAGCCCCCAAAATCTATCCTTTAGAATAACCTGTTTCTTAGTGGGGCATATATAAGTATGCGTATTGGGTTTGCTTCTCTTCTTGTTATATAAATATTCAATAGAAAGCAAGATGACAAGAAACATAGTGCATCAGGACTCTCATCCATCAAGATGCAAAAATTCAAGACTAGTGCTTTGTGTTTTCATTTTCTTCTTGGGTCACATAGATTTCTAAATTTGTAGTCATCTATCAAACATAATACTTACATCATTATCTAATTAAAAAATAAAAAATTATGAGAACTTGACAAGCAATACATTCTCAGCATACACTAACACTACAAAAGGTAAAAATTCCATAAAAACAAAATGAATATTGATGACCAAAGGAGAAGCATGATCCAACTAATTGAACTTCCATATGACAATTCCACATCGATAACAAGAGAAACCATGGTTTTGCAATTAATTTAACTTCTTTCCACTAATTTGCAATTCCCAAAAAAATTATCCACACACATCAACTTACAAATGGACTAGACCTGCACAATATTGTAATTACATTCATCTCTTCTCACTGAATTGCAATTCCCCTAAAATAAAATAAAAAAATTATCAATCTACTTGCAAAATTTACTAGTAGAATAGCCATTACAAGTTTTCAAAAGCATGTACAAGAATAAACCCCCCCCCCCCCTCGAGCTGGAACGGAAATCAACAGCACCGCTGGACCACTACCATGCATGGCGGAACCACCGACCTAGAACAATAAAAAAAAAAAAAAAAAAAACATGGATTAAGAATCTCTACTGCAAAGGCTCAACTGCAATTATCGTCAAAATCAGAGTGTTACATTACATTGCGAAAGGTCTATGGATCAGTGGATGCTCTTCAATCCCCTCCTTCACCATCTCATAAAGCCGGCTCATTTCTCTCCGACTTCGTAGGGTTCTGCCGTGGGTGGCGGAGTTGGAGCGACGGCCGCGGCCGTGGAGAGGGATCGGAGGCGGAGAGTGGTGGCGATGAGCTTCTTCAAGGCCATGGTGGTTTCGTCTGTGATCTCACTGTCTTTTAGCTGTTGGTCCAGTGGGGCCACTTCGGGATTCGATAAATCGAACGTCTCACATTGATCGATATTGATAGTTATTTTATCGTATTAATTTTTTTGTTAATTATTATTTTTTATTTTTTGTACTGTATATTTTTTTATATATACAATTGATTCGTAATTATCGATATTTTATTCATAAAATTTTTTAACATGATTTTTTTATAAATATATATCCTCGACGTTTACAGATTATACAATTTAAATTATTAAAATAATATCCATAATAAATCTTCACAGATTCAATCCCATCCGCTAATCCGATCTGATGTTAAAAGGGAATATCCTCTAGTCCGATCTGATGTTAAAAGGGTATCCAGGCCCGTAAAACACTCATTCTAGAGAGAGAACGAGTCACCGACGGAGATCTGAGATGGGGAATCTTTATCCGACACGTGGCAAGATTGAAGCCTCTGACCAAAAAAGAATAAATTACACTTTGCCCAAGTTTTTTACTAGTATTTTCAATTTGGCTTTTTATACTATTTTAAGTATTTTTTTTTAAATTAAACAAAAAATATCAACTAATATAAAAAATATATTATATTAAGATTTAATTTTGTATAAGAGTGAATTATATACAATAAAATATTTTTATATTACATAATTATTAATGTGTCATTTTATATCTGATTTTAAATTTAAATTATTTTAAAAAATTTAAAAGTGAAAATTAAAAAATAGTCAAACAGGAGGGAACGTATAATGTTTGGATTAGATTATTTTATTGAATCTGATATTTATTTTTTTACTATTTAAAAAAATTAATAAATAGAATATCAATAAAAATTATATAAATTTATTTTAATTTTTAGTTGAGATTTTTTAATTTTATTTTAATTTAAATTTTTAATTAAATAAATTGAATAAATTAAACTTTTAAAGGGGGATTATAATTCATTAAACAGTTAATTTAATTTAATTTTTAGTTAAAAATTTTAAATTTTATTTTACTTTACTAAGCATAATTAAAAATAATATAAATAAATAAAAATTGAGTCCCAAAAATGAGGGCTAAAAATATTATTTTAACATTTCAATCCGCAAAAAGAGTTATCTCATTTTTTTTAACCCCACGCACAAATAAGAAATTGATAATTTGATTAGACTATTAATTCAGATTTATATTTTTTAAACCAAACATAAAACTGTTACGTGCAATGGACATAGTGATGTTTTAAAAAATTGATAAAAAATTAATTTTTAATTTTTTTTACCAAAAAACTAACTTTTTAAATAGTAACTTAAATAAAAAAAAGGTTAACATTTTTAACTAAAAAAAATTAAAAATCTACTTTTTACTAACTTGTCAAAGCAATCTATACCTCACTCTAATCAACCCCAAACAAACACTCCCATAGTGTCATTCTTTTAACCCGCAATGGAGCGCGTGGCATCAACAAACGACACTGAAAATATGGGCGACTCTCTCTCTCTCTCTGTTTCTCTCTCTACAATACAATACACAAATACATATACATAGATACATACATACATACAGTTCGCAGGATCCAATCTGAGAGAGCTCGAGACAGAGACAGAGACAGAGAGAGAGAATAGAAACTGCTCACCTCTCTTTGACAATTTTAGCTCAACTTCCAAATTAATCTCCTTCAAACCCAAGAAACTCTTTATTTATTTGAAGTAAACTATATAATACTTTAAACTATTGTCATTCTTTGAACCTCAAACAAAGTCCTAGTTTTCTTTTGGGTTTTCATTTTTAGCCAAAGTTTTATATATAAAAGGGTTAATCTTTTTTCCATTTTCATTGAGCGATCTGGGGTGGCTCCTTCGTACCAGGTATGGTCTTCTCAGACCCTTTTTTCTTTAGATCTCTCTCTCTCTCTCTCTCTCTCTCTCTCTCTGTGCTTATATTGCTTTATTCAATTCTTGTTATTTATGATCAATTTTCTTTATGTGTAAATTTTATTTTATTTTTTTGGATATTTTGTGGTTTAATTCAGATGGGTTTTTCTTGTGGAGGTCTAGATTTGCAGATTCACTATTTCAATTTTTCATTGAAATGCATATTGGGTTTTTCTTTTCTTGTCTCTCTTAGAAATGGATGTTATGCTTTGATATCTGGTTGGTAGTTAAGGTTGGTATAGAATATAGGTTAAAAAGCTTTGTCTTCATTAGAAAGTAAAGCTTAATTTCTAAGGGTAGATTAACAATACTTACAGTAACTGTATTGCCATTATTAATGCTAGTTAACTGTGTTACCATTATTGATAGAGCGTACTTATTTTTCGATCAGGTTGAGCAAATGTGTATTTTAAGGATTTATTATTTGCAATCATAAAATAGCGAGATCTAGATTGTTTGAGTAGTTTACTTATTAGGTCTCAGAAAAAGTGCTTTATTCTTGCTAGATTATTTTGTTTCTATCATGTCATGAACACAGAATATTTTCACAGATTGGGACATAAATGTCAGATAAATGATGAAATCCTCTCTTCACCTAGGTTTACTCTTTAGAATTCTTGTTATTATTGTTATTACTATTATTATTTCCTTTTTGCCCGGTATCGCCAGGCAAGTAGAGAAGGGTACCTCTTCCTGTACTATCGGTATATACCTCAGTTTAGGACTTTACTGTGAGTGGCAGTATCTCAACTTGTATATCCATGACCAACCGGTTGCCCTGAGGTAGTCGTCTTATCAGAGGCGTGATGTCTCGATTTGAGTCTTATGCAGCTTCTGTATGCTTTGCCTTTTGAGCGCATATTCTAGGTTGTTTTTGGTTTTCTTTGGTTATTCCGATGGAGATGTTTAAGTATGCCAATGAATTGGCAGTGGGTCTTATTCTTTTCTACATGATTTTTAGTCCTCTTAAGCGAAATAATTTTTTATCATTAGTTCCTCTAATGACATTCTTCTTCAAAAGGCGGAGAGTTAATAAAGATTTCATTTTTTTTTTTTTAGGTGCTTATCTGTTCTAATATAAGGTGATATTTAAGGAAATCCATCATGTTCAAGTTGTCACCACGAAGGAACCAGAGATCAAAAGGTTTCAAGGTGAAGCATGCTCTGCAGCTAATCCTGCTGGCTGGTGTTTGCATATGGCTGGTTTACCAAGTCCAGCACTCCAGTAACAAGAAGGCTTCATTTGAAAGAGGCACAAAAATCTCAGAGAAGGTAAGCAACGGGAATGAATTTCTAAAATTAGGGAGGAAGGATCTCAACCCTCGAGTGGAGGAAAAAACCATCGATGATCAGAAGCACGAAGAGGAAGAAAAAGAAGAAGAGATCAAACATTTCCCTGAAGAAATTAAGCCCGAAGAGGATGAGGGTGAAGGAAAACAGGGTGCATTGGATGAAATACATGAACATGATCAAGAGAAATTAGGAGAGGAAGGTGAAAATGGGGGGAATTTTATGGAGAGGGAAAAGGAGATGGAAGAGAGGAAAGAGAATGAGCTGAAAGAGGAGGAGAGGGAAGAAAATATAGAGAAGGAAAACAAAGAGGAGGGTGACAATGACAAAGAGAGAGAAAATGAGGTGATTAAAAAGGATGAAGAGGAAGAGAAGGTAATGGGAGAGGGAGAGAGAGAAGACAACAAAGAAAAGGCTAGCGAACAAAATGAAGGTGAACAGAAGGAAATTAAGGAGGAAGATAGAGAAGAGAACAAGGAAAATCAAGGTGGGGAGGAAAGTGAACAAAACAGAGAGAGCGAGACTTTGGAGGAGCATGAAGGGAAGGAATTTAAAGACGAGAACGGAGAGATCAAAGGGAATGATAGTGGAGAGACGAAAGAGAATGAGAATGAAGAAAAGGAAAATAAGGGAGAGGAGAAGGATGAGAGCAGAGGGACTGAAAGAAAAGAAAGAAAGGAGATTGACACTGAAGAAAAGGAGAGAGAAATGGAGAAAGCAGAGAAGGTAGGTAATACTGAGGATTCAAATCCATCAGAGGAGCAAATTCGTAATGGAAATGATGCAACCAATGAAGAGGCAAAAGGGGAAGATCACAATGGAGATGGGTCTTCCACTGAAATAGTCAAGGATTCTGAAAATAAGACTGAAACTGAGAGAGGAGATGTAGAGAACTCCAACGGGGAAGAGCTGTTAAACAACAAGGAACAGAAGGAACCAGAGGAGAACAATATTAGCAACACTGAGGTGACCAACACGAATCAGAATGAGTTGAGCTCAAACATGAGAGAAAGTGAGACAGTTGAAAAGAGTGATCCTTTAGATGCGATGGACAATGAGGGCAAGAATGGTAATGAGACTGATCACAATGCAACCGAAACAAAAGAGTCTGATGAACACAACCAAGAGAACAATAGCTCCACAACAGCATCTAATGGAGAAACTACATCTGATTCTACTCAACATCAAGATGAATCAGCAGATAAAGCAGTTTCTAAAGAAGATGACATGAAGCAGACTGATTCGAATGAGCAAACTGAAACAACCGACACGGTTTCCAGAGATGAAAAAACCACAAAAACTGAGGATACGGGCGGAAATACAAATTTGGATTCAACTCAGTCCACTACAACTGAGAATGTGGGTGAAAACTCGTTTTCAGACTCAAATGGGGACCCCTCAGATTCTTCTACTAAAAACGACTCTAGTACTTCTTCAGATGGGCAGAACATTGACTCAAGTACATCTACAACCACAGAGAATGGTTCTGTTTCTTCATCAACCAATGAGAATGATAACACGGTTCAGAACAAGGAATCCGGTAGTGCAGAGGAAAAGGCTACTACATCTAATGAAAATGAAAATGCAAATGCAGATCCTACCCAGAATGAATCAGTTAATTCTTCTTCTGATTCTTCAGCCTCCAAAGGTGAGAAAGAGGCTTCATCAAACAAGAATGACGATGCTGATACCGCTCAGCACGATCCAGTTGATTCCTCTGATTCATCGATCCCTCAAGAAGAGAAAGATGCTCGCACGGATTTAGGAACTTTGCCAGAGATCCAAACTGAAGGGAACAACAATGACGATGCAGTTGCAAAGTGACATCATCTTATGAAGTGGTTATGAGGTTGTTTTAGCAGTTCGCTGTTTGTAGCAATTAATTTCATTGTCTTTTACTATTTTTTGTCTCGCCACCGTCTTCTTTCTTTTTTTTTTTTTGGTCATTTGCAGAGATAAACGAGCAAAGCAAATGTGTAAAATGTGTAACCTTTTGTTGTTTTTCTGCTCTGTGCTCTTTGTTACAGCCCCGGTTTGTAACTTTGAGAAAAATGTTCAGTTTTTTATGACTCAAGTCATTTGTTATTTATTGATGCAGCGCTTAACCAGTCCATAAAATAATTTGACCGTTTCACGGCAAAATGGTGATATGAAATGTGTTTCAAGGTTGTTGAATCAGCCCAAAGGATCCAGAGTTGATCCAAAACAGCCCAACCAGCACAACTTACTATTGTCCAGTGACTGATTAAATTTTGGCCAATTCCCTTTGTCTAAGCCTTTAAATTTGAAAATTTACTATTTTTGAAAAGATTTTTCACCACTAGATTTAGAATTTCAATAAAAATTTATTGGTTTGAGTTGGGTTTTCTCCTAGAAGTTTCTTTTTATCATAGATTTTAGCTCAAATTTGCTACTTTTGATTACTAATAATAATTAATTTTCTGTAATCAATTGTAGCGTGACTAACAAGTAACTTTCCCTATAATTAAGGTTGTAAACCATGGAAACTAGTCAGTCATGGACGGTAGTCAAGTTTTGTGATTTTTTTTTTTTAATTATGTATTCATTTATTCCATAAGGTTATCTGCATAAGTAATATTACTACTTTATTATTTGGAATATTTGGTGGGACACACTAATGACATAACATCAAATGCAAATAATCTATAGGCAAATATGTTATGGTCTAACATGACAATCAGAGTTACAATATAGAATTCCTTTCCCATGTCGATATCAGTTGGTAAAATGTTGAGCATCCAAGTGATTGCTACCCTGCCATGACATTCGAGGGATGACCGCAACTCAGAGAGAGAGAGAGCCAATCACAAAAATACTCATCAAGGACATCTAAGCATCTCAAGAATAAGAAATTGGAAGTATCAACGTAAACCAATGAACTCAAAAGAGCACATCCTAATCATAAAACCTTATTTCGCAGCAAACAAAATACGAAAAACAAAGTGACAAAAGAAGAAACACAAAAATAACCAACAACCTGCAACACGCAGCCCAAAAACCATGGTTCCATAATGGGAAGACATTAAACAGTCATGGAGATTTTCAAGTTTGTCTCAAAAAGTAAATTTCCGGATTGCACACGCTGAATTGAGCTGAACAATCATTATTCCTAGATACATCCTCACAATCTTGGCCTTCGAAGATCAATGATGATGCTTATTCTCAAAAAGGCCATCTGGACCTGCACATATCATAAAAGACTCAACAAATGACACTGTTAATTGTGTCCGAAGAGTTTGAGTCAAAAAAATGCTGCTAAAAATAATTAAGAGAGAAAAGAAACAAAGAAAAGGCTGCAACCTCTCACAACCCATGCAATTAAGTGGAACAAAAAAAATTCTTAATGCACGATATAAACCCACATGCAAACTTGCTGTTTGAACTTTAACAGCATCATCTAACAAGCAGCATGTGCACATCTTTCCACATATAGTTAGCAGTCACAGAAAGGAAAGTTCAATCACCATTTACGCTACAGCTACAGACAAACCAGGCTGAACTGAGTATCCAGTTGTCTGAGCTTAAGATCAGTTGAAAACACGGCAGTTTGCAAGCCTAGGTCAATCTCACACCAAGCCAACACAGCACAAAGGTCAATCTGCAAGCTCATTGACTGTGTAGGCACGGCTCTTTTACCCAAGAATTTCAAATAATAAATAGATTAAAAAAATGACAAAAACAAGAAACGAGTGCAAGGAAGGCAAGTTGACAGGGGTCACCTGAGGCCCTCCATTCATCGCACTTATGTAGGACTGAAAGAATTGGAATTGATTTATTTAGGCTTATGTAACCTTTATTTTTAGGACATTTTAACTTCAGGAGTTATTATGAAATTTTGGTTATTTTGATATTTAATTCTTTCCTTATTTATTCTGTTTTAGTTTATCTATAAATATTGGACCTTTAAGGTATTGAAAGACACTTTTAAAAATTGAGAAAACAATCGAGTTGAAAGTATATACTTTGTTAGTTTTTTAAGCACTATATTTTCAGTCTCTTTTTTTCGCCTACCGTCTGGCATCACAACAAGTGCATGGTATTTCAAATGAAATCCCAGATATCTTGGTACTCAGGCTTCACAAAACTTTAAAAAATATTTAGTATCTTCTTTATGAATATTGCAAACACCCATACATTTATAGTTAGTATATATTCTAGTTGACTACGTATCTGCTTCTAGCTACGACGACATGACGAACACAACTCTTAAACCAACTACCAGGCTAAATGTCGGTGGCTTCAACCTACAATTCTACAGCATAATACTTGCAGTATGAGATCATTAACAAAAATAAATTTAAACCATGGTCCAAGTTGAAATTTAAATCTAAGTGCCCCACTGGTAGATCATTATTCCATGTAATCTATCCAATTGAAGACAAAGCAATGATATTCAAATTGTTGTGTCAAATGCAGCGATAAACACAAATAATCCAAATAAAAGAACTCTTTTTTTAACTTAAAAAGCAATCTCTTGAGTGCCAAATTAAATATGGTTAGAGCCCATATAATGATATAAACCATTACCAAAAAGGATAAAATCAATTGATCCAAATACCATTAAGAAGAAAATTAAATGACCATTAGATTTAAGGCCTCACTAAGGAATAAATAACATACCCCAAGGGAACTCCTTGTTGCGAATGTGCAAATGCGGGTACGGCTGCATTCAGAGATATGAATCGTAAGCAAACATTATTGAATTCATAAAATGAGACAAAAAAACACAAGATATATATCAATGAAGGTGGAAGAAGACAAAAAAAAAATTATTTATTTATTTTTCTCTCCTTAAGATAAGAAGGCAAAAAAATCTTCGGTTGTGTTTGGTTAGACTTTCAAAAGTCAATTCCATCCTTTGGTTTGAGTGTGGTGTTCGGTTACGGTTTTCAAAAATTAATTCAACACCCACTTTTCAAAACACGTCTACCCGATCATCCTCCCAGATGTCCAGCCGGTTGATCAGAACAGGTTTTTTTTTTTTTTTTTTTGGGTATCTGTTATTTTTATATTTTAAATAAAAAATATTTTGGGAATTTTTTTAAATTTTTTTATGAGCTTTGAAGAGAATTTTGGATTGTATGTTTGGTTATGAGTTGTAAGTTTTTGAATCAAATATCATATGTCACATCAAAAATTTCAAACTCAACTCAAAACCTTTTCAACACTCTTTTTAAAACTCATAACCAAACAAACTTTCCACATTCAAATCATAATACCAAAACTCACAAACTCAAAATACAACTCTATCTCAAATCATAATTCTAAAACTCTACCAATCGCTACCTTCAATGTCCAATTAGGCATGTTCATTTCATGCACCTCAATATGAGTAATAGCGGGGGTATCTACACATAAATGGCACATAGCATGAATTAGAGAAATTTAGATGGGCCCAAAGAAAGCTTACAAGTGGCTCTTCATAATGAGCATGGCCCTTTGAAAGGATATAGAAGGCCAAAACAGAGCATGTAACAATACCAGCATAAGTAATCTTCTCCCACTTGGCCGTTTCATCTGAGAAGAAAACAATTGATCAAAAATTGCATAATCAATCAGATCCAATGGATCAAGCCACCCACACAAGCATAATGGAGTAAAATTTGTCACATAATATATCACAAATGCATGAGATGTGCTGGAAACAATATTTTGATGGGATCTAGAAAATCAGAACCTAACATAAGTATATTGCAGGGTGTAGTGATATATTATATTGATAGATGCATTGCATAGGACATGCTGCATAAATTTCAAACAAAACACTCATGGCATGAATGAGAATATATGGTGCATTATAAATAGCATTAGCAATATAGCATGAATATAAAGAAAATTTCATACTATTTATTCATATACATGGACATACATGCCACGAATGGTCACATACATAGTACTTACAAAAATGAATAGCAATATGGATAATATTATGAGCCTCACAAAATAGGGTACATACATATAATATATGCTGTTTGTACATCAATGACTGTTGAGTTTTAGGCAAGACTCTCTATGTCGAACATCAGAAAATATTTATGAATAATTGGGGTCTAACTGACCCAAGTGCACCAAGTAGAAAGTAATAATAACTGATCACATAGAAACTCCACATGATCGTAACTGTAGGGTTAGTTATGTCACATAGTTGGTGTATTGTGGACTTTATGTTCACATTTGAACTTTATTTTATAATATTTTATCCGAAACAATACTCAATATAAAATGAACAAGAAAACTAGAGTTTGGCAAAAAAGAAATGCAGAAAAAAAGCAGCAACAACAAGAGGAAGATCAGCACCCAAAAACAGAACTTCTGTAGCAACACACCGCTTAACGGAAATGAACAATTTTATGAAAATTCTCATCCCCCTTTCTTCTAATCCTTACTTCTACTTACACTCATCTCTATTATAGCAATACAGCTTGCTTAACTAACCTAACAGTTTGCTAACTCTATGTGACAGCAACACCACTTGCTAAACTAACTAACACAACAGTTCAATCTAATTCCAACTAATTTGTTGGCATGTCATTGATCCAAGCTCCTTTGTTCTTTAGTATATTTCATCGCTAACAGTCACTCTTCTTTCACCACATCATCAATCCATTTCCTCAACATTAACAGCCACTCTTCTTCCCTTTACCAGTTTCTTGATCTTCATTTACTTTACACCACATTTCAATTCACATTTATACTTGTATCAACATAATAATACAAGTAAATTCTACAGTGCACAGTGATTGGAGCTCTTTACATTTACAAAAGCACATAATTTTTGTATCCTATGCTTCCGCGTAATCATCGAATATAAATTCTATTTGTAGTATTCTGAATTGGAAAATTCGAAATCATGAACTAGTAATTTTATTAGTATTTACTTACAAAACTTTCTATTAAAAAAAGGCAGCATTTTGCAATTAAGGTCCATCATTTACTATTAAAAAAAAATTTTGTATTAGCAATCTGGGCTTGAGAGAGATCCTATTTATCAGCATTCTAATCAAAGATAATTAACATTTTATTCTTTTCAAATAGGCAATCAGATATTCAGAGCAATATGTAAGGAAACAAAAGCCATGGAAGTCATATGTGCTAAAAAAACCCTAAATATAATGTAGATTAATGGCTCTTCGAATCAAAAACGATTTTAAGATATTCATTGAGAATCAGATCGATCAGAGAGAGAGAGTAGATACGGGCATCGTCGTGGGCAGAGGAGCCAAAGGATCTCTTGGAAGCTGGAGTCCGTGCCAATGGCCCACCGCGGACTGCCGTTCGGAGTACAGATCTCGCCATCGCCGTCGCCATCTCTCTCTCTCTCTCTCTCTCTATATCTGCCTGTTAAAATGATGACTTCTATATATACAGGTGTGGTTTGGAACGATGATTAAAATATGATTTTTTGGCTTTTGATTGGGATTGTTTGGGTCACATCAATCAACATCTTCTCTTTACTTTTTCTACATATAATACAAAAAAAGTCAAAAAGTGTACTTATTTAGTCTTTCCAAACTAGGCCTAAATAAGCGTATTTGTTGGTATTTTAGATTAAAAAGTTGAAAAAAAAAATATTTGTTTGGGATAATTTTTTAAAAAATTGTATAAATTATCGTATAGGAGAAATTTTTTGACGAGTAAGCAGTACGGTGGGCAGTACGATGGCAGCATTGGGCAAGGTAGTGTATAGGAGATGTTTGTCACCTTTTCGGACATTGAATTAGACGGTGTTGTTCAGTCCTTGGAGGCCCACCATGGGTCTTGTTTTGCTAATCGAAACCGTTCAATGTTTAGAACTTATCGAGTATTATATGCTTGTAAAAAATCACGTTGATCGGATATCGATAGCTATCTGATCAGATTAGTTTTTTGTTAACCATTAATTATAACACCATCTATTTTTTTTATATAAAACTGATTTGATCATATAGTTAGAGATATCCGATTAACGTGATTTTTTTATAAACATATGTAGTACTCGACGAGTTTTACACATTACACGGTTCAGATTATCAAAATGAGATTCATAATAGGCCCCCACGGGCCAAACAACACCGTCTTGTTTGTGCACCTACCGGTTCCCTTTGTCCAACCAAAGTCAGCTAAAGTAAAACTCATGTGAGAAGTGAGTTATACTTTTTTTTTTGTGTAAAATTAATTTTTTTATATTTTTTTTGTGGATAGTGATAACTTTTTAACTTTTTTAGTAACTTTTTAATTTTTTTAAATGATGTCAAACCAGAGTTTTTTCGATTTTTTAAGAAAGTCATTTGAGTGTCGGTAAAATGTTACTTTTTGATTATTATTATTTTTTAAATGTTTATTTATGCTGTCACATTACATTTAAATGACTAAAATATTTCTACCCAAAAGATTTTGCCCTAGCTTACAAATGTAAACATGGAGGGTATAATTGTAATTTTACAGGTAGTTTTTAGCTACCTTTCTAAATAGTTTTGATTAGGGCTGAGCGAGTAATCCGTGCAATCCGTAATCCGATCCGATCTAGTCCAATCCTGTAAATTTGGATTAGTTTTTTGAATCTGTAGTTTGGTTCTTGATTGAAAAATTAAAAATATGTAATCCACAGATCGATTCTGTATTGAATTCCACGATTTCGAATTAGAACCAATCCGGACCGTATACAAATAGCTTATATTTATATTATACACTCTCCGCATAATATTTTTTCTTATTCCATATAAACCTAAACTCGCATAGTATCTTATTTTATTACTTTTGTTTGTTAGTTTTTAATTTTAATTTATAATGATCTAAATACTTATGATGGACTAGTTTTCTTATGATTGTTTAAATTCTAAAACAATACGTGGCTATTATGGAAAGATATGTTATTATTGTGGAACTAATATTATGCTATGTTTATGTTTTTATAAAATTAAAATATTTTATATTTTTTTTTGTTATTTAATTTTGTGAATATATAGTCTTAAACCGATCCAATTCGTATTTAAATAGATTGGTTCTACGATTTAAACAGATTGGATTGGTTCTAATTTTTCAAGAACCGTAAATAACGGATTGGTCCTTGTTTTACTCCAATTTGAACTAATCTGGACCATACTCACTCATAGTTTGATGCTAAAAGAGCTAATTTTTAATTTTTTTGACAAGCTGCAAAATGCAATTTTTATTTTTATTTTCTCAAATGACACCATACTTACAAAGATTTTTATTTTTAATAATTTTTTAAAAAATGTGTTAAATATTTAACTGTTCAAATCAGTATTGAATAGTTAGAAAAAAATTCAATAATTATAACAAAAATCACAATGACAAAAAAGTAAGATTTTTTTTTTGTCTTTCTTAAAAAAAAAAAATTAATTTTTTATTATTATTCAATTTACTATTTTTGAGTCCGTGCAATTTAGTTGGATTTAAAATAGCAATCAATTTTTTTTTTTTTTTTTTTAAGAATCAAAAAAAATAATTCACTAAAAAATAAAATAATAAAATTGTAAAATAACACTTGTCAAACCTACCTTATCAAATCTTTTCTTTTTCTCTCATTTGTCAAGGTAAAGGTCATCATTTGGCTCAAAAACTTGTAGTTCGATTTAAATTCACCCAGCTTGACAAGTTTTTATAGGCTCGAGCTTGTACCTTGCTTGGGTAGGTTGACTTAACTCAAATGTGGCTTTGTCTAGCCTTAGTGTTTGAAGCTCAATCCAGCCAGTTAGGAAGTGAGCGACAACTTGTTAATTTGTCAAAAATATGAAAAACTCTTAACCTGTTCAGCTAAGCATGTGAACCTCAACTCATTGACCTACACATCGACAGTATGTCTTACGAGCCCACCTGTGGCCCCATCTAGGCCAAGCCCATTGCATAAAACTTGATCCTAAACTTTCGATCCGCAAGCTCCATTTTAGCAAGTCAACCTGAACTATGGCCAGGTTTCACATATCCCAAATAATTTTAAAAATTAAAAATTATCATTATTCACAAAAAAATAAAAATAAAAATTTTACGCACAAATTATTACAACTCAATTTAACGTCCCACAGATTGTTGTTGAGTTTTTCGGAAAAATTGCACAGGCGGGGTGCCAAACAACACAATGTTGTTCGGCCCGTGGGGACCCATCACGGGTCCCGTTTTGATAATCTGAACCGTTCAATGTGTAGAAATCGTCGAGTACTATGTGCTTTTAAAAAATCACGTTGATCGGATATCGCTAACTACATGATCAAATCAGTTTTGTATAAAAAAAATAGATAGTGTTATAGTTAACGGTTGAAAAAAAAACTAATCCAATCAAATAGTTATCGATATCTGATCAACGTGATTTTTTATAAGCATATAGTAGTTGACGCGTTTTACACATTGACGGTTCAGATTATCAAAACGGGACCCGTAATGGCCCCACGGGCCGAACAACACCATCCAATGCAATGTCGGAAAAGTAGACAACCATTTCTTATCATCAATTCACCCTGCCCAGACGGTACAGCGGTATTGCCTACTGTCCTTATCTTCTCCTACACACTAATTTATACAATTTTTTAAGGGTGAATTACACTAATAGTCCCTATAGTTTGGGGCGTGTGTTACTTTAGTCTATGATTTTTCAATTGTGACACATTTGACCTGAATTCTGAATCTTTTTCCAAATAAGGATAATTGAAGATATCATGAGATTTTTTAGGGGTAAAATCGTCAATTTGATAAAAATATAAACTAATTTGACAAAAATAAATGTCAAACAAATATTTTTTGAATTTTTAAAAATTATTTCTACCCACTAAAAATAAAATTATGTAAAAGTGATAAATCCTTTAGAAATTTATTTACTTATTTTTTTACCAAATTAATTTTTATTATGCGTTTAGATGATAATCATGTAAAATTAATTTTTAAAAATTAATCATGTAATTTTTATTAATTTTTATCAATTTTACATAATTTTATCATTGGAATTTTATCATTGGTAGATAAAAATAATTTTTAAAAAATTAAAAATATTTTTTTGACATTTATTTTTGTCAAATTAGTTTATATTTTATTAAATTGACGATTTTGCCCTTGAAATTAAACAATGGTATCTTCAATTGTCCTTATTTGGAATAAGATTCAAAATTCAGGGATAAATATGTCACAATTAAAAAGTCAGGGACCAAAGTGACACGAGTCCCAAACTATAGGGGCTGTAATTCACCCATTTTTTAATACACATTTTTTTGTAAAATGTCAAAAAATTAACCCAAACAATTATCTTTTTTTCCTCAACTTTTTAATCTAAAAAGTCAAAAAATATACTTATTTAAAACATCTCAAACAACTCTAACTGTAACTCTTAGTTATGATTAGTGAGCTACTAAACGTGGTTCACACTATTGACACTTTGAAGGGTTTGATGTATAGGGCATGTAGTTTTATTCATGTTTGGTTTAAAAGCTTATTAGTCTCAAGGTGTATTCAAGCTTTGTTTACCTTATGAGCCAATCTCAAGCACCGAGGGATCAACGAACTTAAATATTTCAGATATCATTTTATCCTTGCAATTTATTTCAATTTTATCAGTTTACCTTAATTAATTTAAAATTTTGTTTATTAATTTAGCAGAGTTTGGGTTGGAGGTTTTTTTTTTCCTTTTTTGTGTAAGAATTAATGTATAGAGAAAGAGAGAAAATAAATTATGTATATATTGATGTATTATTGATTGATTGTGTTGTTATGTATTACAACTCCTATATATAGAAGAAAATATGGTAGTAGGTGTAGTGTAGTGGAAGTGGTAGGTGGAGTGGGTGGTAGTGGAGATGGTAGGTGGAGTGGGTGGTAGTGGTAATTTACATTTACACAATTTACATTAACAGCCCCCCTCAAACTCAAGGAGGATAGGCACTAGCCAACTTGAGGTTGGAGAGAGTAACAAAACAGAAAAAATAAACTGATAAATAAAAATAAAACAGGATAGGAGACACGGTATGGTCGTCTCAAACCGTTGTAGGAGACACAGTATGATCGTGTCGGACCGTTGTAGCAGACAGTTTACGGGGTCATGTCGGACCGTTGTAGCAGACACTGTGTGGTCGTGTCAGACCGATGTAGAAGACAGTTTTATGGGGTCATGTCGGACCGTTGTAGCAAATTGTGGTGGTGCACCAAGGGGGTGACTTAGGGAGTGCGCCATGGGCGACTTATACATGATACTGTGTATAACCCCCCCTCAAACTCAAATAGGTGTGAAGATAGAAACCTATTTGAGGTTGAAACAAAGGGATTGATAAAGCTGACCGGTGTAGAAGACACTGTATGAGTGTGTATATAGGCTGCCCAAAAGATATACATGGATGTAGATATCGAGCCCTCAAAAGTCGTGCCCTCAAAAGGTGTGCCAATCTTTCAAAAAGGCGTGCCATCAAAAGGCGTGCCCAATTCATCAAAAGGCGTGCCAGTTTGTCGGCGAGCACCGAGCGGCGCATGATGCGCGTGGCTGCCTTGGCTATATAACCAAGACGGAACCTAAGGCCGAGGCAGAGGCTGAGACAAAAAAAACCTGCGAAAATCCTCTGGAAAACTCTTCGTTTTGCTGAGAGAGATAGTCTGTAACACTCTGTTGCGAGAGATATTCTGTAACACGCTGGTGCCCATAAAATGGCTTCGTCGTCCCGTGGTCTGCTCACTCTCTTTCCCGACCTCAACGAGTCAACAAGAGAGATAACGGGTGCGGTGGGCAGTGAACCTCAACCAAACACCTCCGGTTTTGCTCCGTTGAACTTTCCGATGCGGTCGGTGGAGCAAAAAATGGCAGTGCAAACAGATATTGAAGCCAATCAGTATATTTTGAAGTCATGTATGGAGACCATGACGGCGGTCACAAACCTGTCGCACCGGCTGCAGAGTAGGACAAATGAGGTGCAGCAGTTAAACGCCCAACTGGCTCTGCTCCAACGCATGTATAAGGATGCGCGAGCAGAGATAAGTGTGCTAAAGGCGGAAAACAAGGAGCTGAAGCGGAAGACCACCGTGATGTTCCGATTTGGAGGTCCACCAGATGCGGGAGTGGAGGAGTAGGGAGGAGGCAACTGGCTTGGCGGCACGGGAAAGACGGAGGCAACACCGGCAAGGGCCGTCCAGGACGGAGGCAAGAAGAAAAGACCGGCGGCAGAGTAGAGAAGGGAGAAGGAAAAAGTTCCGCCTGTGGGTGGTGGTTGTGGATTTGGTTGTTTGGTTGTTTGTTTGTTTGTTTGTGTTTGTGTTTGTGTTTTTTTTTTTGTTTTTTTGTTTTTTTTGTGTAAAATTGTGATTGGGGTTGATCCCCGGCATGAAGAAATGACAAGTGTGTGGAATGTTTGTGGTGTTGATTTTGGTGTTGGGGTTTTTGGAGAATAAGAAAAATAAAATAAAATAAGAAAAAGAAAATAGATAAAAGCCAATATTTTTGGATGGGTAAGGTGAGAAAGATCGGGGTGAGGTTGTTTTTTTTTTTTTTTTGTAGTGGGATGAATGATGAGAATCATGTGGGGAATATATTCTATATGTTGTGTGGGTGGAGAATAAAGAAAAGAAAAGAAAGGGAATCATGTGATTGTATTCTGAATTGTTGCCTGGGTGGAGAATAAAGAAAAGAAAAGAAAAGAAAACAGGATAGCTGTCCTTTTGTATTCTGAATTGTGGCCTCAGACCCACATGAAATGTGGCCAAAAAAACCCGTGAAAGAAGTAGAGAATAAACTAATTTGACAAAAATAAATGTCAAACAAATATTTTTTGAATTTTTAAAAATTATTTCTACCCACTAAAAATAAAATTATGTAAAAGTGATAAATCCTTTAGAAATTTATTTACTTATTTTTTTACCAAATTAATTTTTATTATGCGTTTAGATGATAATCATGTAAAATTAATTTTTAAAAATTAATCATGTAATTTTTATTAATTTTTATCAATTTTACATAATTTTATCATTGGTAGATAAAAATAATTTTTAAAAAATTAAAAATATTTTTTTGACATTTATTTTTGTCAAATTAGTTTATATTTTTATTAAATTGACGATTTTGCCCTTGAAATTAAACAATGGTATCTTCAATTGTCCTTATTTGGAATAAGATTCAAAATTCAGGGATAAATATGTCACAATTAAAAAGTCAGGGACCAAAGTGACACGAGTCCCAAACTATAGGGGCTGTAATTCACCCATTTTTTAATACACATTTTTTCGTAAAATGTCAAAAAATTAACCCAAACAATTATCTTTTTTCCTCAACTTTTTAATCTAAAAAGTCAAAAAATGTACTTATTTAAAGCATCTCAAACAACTCTAACTGTAACTCTTAGTTATGATTAGTGAGCTACTAAACGTGGTTCACACTATTGACACTAGTGAAGGGTTTGATGTATAGGGCATGTAGTTTTATTCATGTTTGGTTTAAAAGCTTATTAGTCTCAAGGTGTATTCAAGCTTTGTTTACCTTATGAGCCAATCTCAAGCACCGAGGGATCAATGAACTTAAATATTTCAGATATCATTTTATCCTTGCAATTTATTTCAAATTTATCAGTTTACCTTAATTAATTTAAAATTTTGTTTATTAATTTAGCAGAGTTTGGGTTGGAGGTTTTTTTTTTCTTTTTTGGATACAACGGAAAGAAGGTTGGAGTTCTGTATAAGCATACCAATGAAACTCAAAAACAAAATGTGTACAGATATCCAACACTAAAATGAAAATAAAGATAACAAGAATGATATACACTGTCTCTGGAAATGGATGCTTGCTCTAAAAAATTTGATACCATTATCTCTTATACTTTGTTCACAACGTCAAAAAAAAGGATCAAAATAAATACAGAAATCCTGCTCTTTCGCAAAATTTTGGGTCGACCTCTTTCCTCTCTACAGGAAGAGAAAGCCCAACTGAGCCAGGAATACACATAATCAGCTAAAACTAACGTGATAATCCAAAATTGGAAAAAAGAAGAACTAATGTAAGAAACAGTGAAATTCTGTCACTAGCTATTCAACCGAAGCAAACCTCTTGAACTTAAATTCTTTAGGAGCATAATGCTGTAACCACCCTCATCTTTTCATGCAATATCTTCAGCGCCCAAGCTATCATCATCCTCCTCCATCTCTTCATCTTCATCATTGGCTGAATCTACTGCAGCATTTTGAAGACTCCGAGGAGCGGCCTCTTCATTCCCAAAGCTCCATCCGACAACAACATTCCTCATTCCTTCTCCTGTAACATTGGCATCAGCATTGAAATAGCCTTGAGTGCTAATGTTTATCAAATCTCTTCCATATTGCCCAGATGGGATATTTGAAGTCGACACAAAATTTTCATTATTCTCAGAAGCACCTTTTGGTTCAACCCCCTTTACCTGATGTGAGAACATTGAAAAAACAGTCTTGGAGTCTCCATTCTCATTGTCAATAGCTTTTAATTCAGAAGAACAAAGGCCGACACTGGGAATATCATTATGAATTTGATTGGGAAATAAGGGATTAGGTCCAGAAATCTCTATTCCACTACACCACTTAGTTAAGACATTTGCATTGTTTCCACCATTGGGCTGCTGAACAGGATTTTCTTTCTGTTCAATTTTCTTTAGGCTTTTCTTTCTGAAACCTCGTTGTTTTGCCTCATCTGCTTGAACATTACATTGCGCAGGCTTTCGACCACAAGGACGAGGTAAAGCATCAACTGAAGAAATTTGTTTCTTTGGTCTCCCTTTCTTTGATGATTGTCCAGCTAAACAAGTCCCACTGGCAAGAGTGGTGGGCTCGTGTATTGTTGGTTTTTCAGAGAAAACCTCTGACTCGAGCTTGATTAAGCGGCTTTTGTAATCAGCCAATTCAGATTGCAATTGACCAACCACAGCCCATAGCTGAACATTCTCTGCTGACTACATCCTCAAACAGCCGAAAATCCAGCAATGTTATTTCCACTATTGTGTGATTATAAAATCATAGTATAGACAAGACAAGAACTTAAAGAAAAATTGGAAGGAAAAAAATTCCATACTTGAGCTTCCCATAGTAATTGGTGCTTCTGAGAAAGTTTTGGTGGTGGCTGAATGGTTCCTCTCTGAAAAAATTGAGTGGAGTCGGCTGAGCAACCAGGCATTAGTGGTGACCGTGAAGAAAGATAGCCACATGCTCCTGGGAAAGAATAGGCACAATGATGCAGTGATTGTTGCGCTTGACCCCACCAAGATGTGGGATCCCAAGGACCTGTGAACAAGAAAAACTTCAATAACATATGATTCAAGTTGTATAAGCTTGGCAGTATTGTGGAAAATTTGGAATTAATCAAGCACTTGTAGTTAGTAAATTCACAAGGCCTATGGAGAAAAAAAGCCCCATAAAATTTAAGTATCATCCACAAGTTACCAAAATTTACCACATGGGATCAAGAAACAACACCTATTGCAGAATAATCCAAGGAATTTGACAATGCTCAGACATTTTAGCACACAAAAATTTGAGATGTTTCAAAGAGGACTTCAAAAAAACAACGAAGATACTCAATACCGGTGCACTCACCTGGAAAGCCAGGATATGGGTAATTAACATGGTAGCAAAAGCTTGGAATCTGAGCTTGGTTTGAAATTCCTCCTCCAGTTGCAGGACCTTGCCAACTAATGTCGGTTCTTCCAACAGGAGCAAACGGCGCATTGGCACCACTTAATTGGTAACCAGGCTGTTGGGCCAACCAAAAGGGCATGGCTGGTTGTGTTAGATGTGGGGGTGGTTGGTTTGGTTGCTGATGCTGTGATAGTGGCCATTGGCTTAGGAGGGTGGTGGGCGAGGGTGATTGGATGGATACACAAGGTTTTGAGTTTAATGGCAATTGTTCCATTGATTGGGTTGATTGTGGCCATTGAACAACGGGTTGAAATTGTTGATTCGAGGGAGGTGCATTGTCATCTGAAGAGGTACTAATTGCAGCATTCTTTAGAGCAGAAAGTCCCACATTAGAATGGTTTTGGTCTTCCTTTCTCTGTTCATGATTAAATTCATCAATAAAGTATACCAAGAAACTAATGCAGTCTTGTGTTCTAAGAAATCAAAGAAAGTAATTCAACGAAATCATCACAAGCAAAGTCAGGTTACAGATTGCAATGATGTCAAACAATCTCATCATCATCAAAGCCATGTCTTGAAACAGAGAGAAAAATGAAAGAACTACTACTTGAAAATGGCTGTTGGTTTGTAAAATGCACAAAACTATCTGAGCTCAATTTGTGTTTGGCCGGTTAATAATTTTTTCAGGATATGCTCTGCTCATTATGTAAATAAATCATAGTTTAAACAAATCGATTCTTGGCTCGATAAGCTTATAAGCATTATCAAAAATAAATTACTCGAATTTGGTTTGACTTTAGCTTGTGATATCGACTAGAAAGCTAAATAAATCAAAACTAAACATATTTTGAAGGTCGACTAGACACATTTTCACATATTTTTGCTACAAATATTGCTACACTTCGATAATAAAATAAATAGAATCTGCTCCATGCAAATTATCTCAGTTTTTCCTCGATTGTTTTCTCAAAATATAGCACCCAAAAAGTGAATTAGTAATAAAAAGAAAAGAAAAAGAAACCTATCCATTCTCGTTTTTCGTAGTTGAAAGGGTTTAGTAGAAACCCAATAAATAGGAAAAATTAAGAGAAACCCATTTTTGAGAAAGAAAAAAGGAAAAAGAAGGGATCGTTACCAAGAGTTCATTCGATTTAGTAGCTTCATGAGACGTATAATCAGTCTTCTTCTTCTTCTTCTTCTTCTTCTTTTCCATAGCTTTACACTGATTTGATTGCAAAAGCTACCCTTTTTCTTTCTTTCTTTTTCTTCTCTCTTTCAAGGTAACAACATTTTTGTTTCGTGGAGCAACCGAACCGATGAAGCTACATTACCCTATAGAGAATGAGAGACAGAGAGAAAGTGCAGATACAGAAGAGACATTAAAGATCAGAGCTGAAAACATCTTTTAATGCTTTCTCAATTTTTTTTTGGGTCAAATTTGAATAAATATTTGGGTGAAAGTTTTATATCAAACAATTAATTGATTCAAATTTGCAAATTTCACCCAAATATAATATTTATTCATTTCAACGTTAATTTTTTAATTTTTATCAAACAATTAATTGATTGAATTGATGTCTGGAGAATATCTGGGCGGTCGTTCGCTTGTGTAAATTGACGACATCATGAAATGAAGAAAATTTGCAAGCTCAGTTTATTTGTCAGATGTATGGTACTAACAAGTATTTACAGTAAAGAAAAATGATGCAAATCACTGATTAGTGGTTGACTCATTGTTATATGTGATTTGTGTCTTAATTTTTTTTTAACTTGTCACATTATTAGTGGTGATGTTTTAATGGTCTGTATCATTATTATTATAGTAATTTGATGAAACCAAAAAGCCGTCTTCAAATTGATAAAAATTTTAAATTTTTTCTTATTTAATATGTGTTTGATGTCATGATTAAAATAGTAAAATTAAACTTATTTTATCAAATTTAAATTTAAGACAAAAAAGTAAATTTCGGAGAGCTGTCAGGTGTCTAACTTATTTTATCAAATTTAAATTTAAGACAAAAAAGTAAATTTCGGAGAGCTGTCAGGTGTCTTAGGCCCGCATAGATCCTGCAAATTTAGAGATTGTTTGGGATGATGTAAATAAATATATTTTTTATTTTTTTAAGAAAAGATGTACAGAAAAATAGAGAGATAATGTGATAAAAAAAATAAAAATAAAAAGACAAATTATTTTGTATACGTCAAACTTAACCTTAATAAAAAAGAGTAAATTTTGGAGAATCCTAAGCCCGCATAGATCGTGCACGGAATTTCACTTGTGATTTTCTTCCTTCTTTTTTTTTTTTTTTTAGTTATAATTTTACTTGGGTCATTTTTTAATAAATTATCTTTTTGAGTGTTTTATTCCATCTAATATATATTCTTTTTGAGTATTTCATTAAGTCATGTTTAATGTAATATAATCAAATTATCATTTTTAATTTTTTGCACTTGTTTCTATTTTGAAACTAATATATAACAATAGTCTCTCATTTTATGAAAAAAATTTCTCCCTTATTCTAAAAAGACATATTTTCCTTATTTCATAAAGAAAATATCTCACTTATTCTAAGGAGAAAATCTCTTCCGCATTTTATAGAGAAAATTTCAAATTATGAATTTTGAACATTTTTATAATTTTAAAAATAACGCAATAAAAAATCTAAATGAAAATCAAAATATAATGTGAATGTTTACAGTAAATAACAACCATACAATTAACTTTTAAAAAAACAAAAGACATACTAAAGTATAATATGAATGATCACAACAAACAACAAACATACAACTAACCTTCAAAAAAATAAAATTCATACCAAAATACAATGTGAATGTTCACAATTTATAATTAACATATAACTAGTATTAAAAAAATAACTTATACCAATATAAATATTTATACTACAACGTGAAAACATAAAACAAAATTGAAAAAAGTGAAAATCGACTATTTTAATTGTTCAATAGTAACAAAAATGATTTTTCATCTAACAAACATTGTAATAAAAACAACAAATATACAATTAATTTTCAAAAAAAAAAAACAAAACTTATACTAAAATATAATGTGAATGCTCACAATTTACAATTAATATACAACTAGTTTAAAAAAATAATAAATTCATACCAATATAAACATTCACACTGCAACGTGAAAACATAAAATAAAATTAAAAAAATAAAAATCGACTATTTGGATTGTTCAATGTTAACAAAAATGATTGTTTAACTAACAAACATAGTAAAAAAAATAACAAAATACAACTAATTTTCAAAAAAATTTCAAAAAAAAAAAAAACTCATATCAAAATACAATGTGAATGTTCACAATTTACAATTGACATGCAACTAACCTTAGAAAAATTAAATTCATACCAATGTAAACATTCACATAGCAACATGAAACAAAATTGAAAGAAAAAAATGACTATTTCAAATTGTTTAATGATAACAAAAAAATGATTGTTCAAACAACAAGTATAATAATAAATAACCAATAATATGTGAACATTCACATTTTGCAAAATATATAGGGTTCGTTTGGGAAATAGGTTGACTTTTTAATTTTTTGGTTATTTTAGCCTAGGGCTAAAAAGCCTAGGTTGGAAGGATTTTTTGACTTTTTTGACTTTTTATGAGAGAAAGAATAGAATGATTATTGGTTGGATGTGATATTTTGTTTCATTAGGTTAAAAAGCCTATTTTATTTTTTGTGACTATTTTAGCCAAAAAAACTCCCAAACTTCAACTTCCCAAATGAGCTCATAATTACGTTTATATTTATATTTCAACACTTATTTATCAGATTTTCAAACAATGTAAAAGTGAACATTCGCACTATTGATTAAAAAATAGAAATAATGACAAAAATAGAATTAGAAATCCAAAAAGCACTCAATCACTCTGGGATTGTTTGGTTTTCATATTGGGCTAAACAATCACAAAAGGACAAAAAAAAAGTCCACAATTCCAAAGCTAAAAAACCAATCAAAAATACCAAACGAACAAAAAAGACACAGCCTAAAAAAGTTAAAAAAAGTCAAAAAGCCAACTAAAAAAGTCATTGTCAAACGAAGGCTCTAAAAACAAAAAAATATCACCCACATCTTCATCTTCATCTTCATCTTCATCTTTATTATTATCACTATCATTAACAATCTATGCAATTTCACCATTCCACCAATCCAAATCAAACCAAACCCACATTTGAAGAATATGCTTGTAACAAAATTGACTAGATATAAACAAATTTTTGACTTACAATAATGCAGAAACATAGAGTTTCGAATACAGAGTAACAATGGACGAACACAAAATTTCGAACACAGTTTCACTACAACAATGGAGGGACATAATATTATTTTACTGTTGTGGGGATATATTTTCTGAGTACCAATACGTGGCCAAGGTGACGCCGACATGTCAACCAAGGTGCCACGTGTCCTGGTCGTGACGCCTAGGTGATCTCAACTAGGCCGAGGTTATCTCCGAAGATATCGAAATTCGGGATAAGCGGATAAGAGACAAGAGTCCTAGAATGAGGAAGGGCTTCAGCCTGGATAAAGATAAAGCTCTTAGGGAGTTTATCTTTATCTATTGAAGAGTCCAAGATAAGTATTGAGCAGAAGTCCATTTGAGCTAGGTTTCTATTGGGACTAAGATTGAATTAGCTATAAAAGAGGGGCACCCTCATGTGTCTAAGGTACGCGATTTATATTCTGAGTTGGTATCACTTCTTTCTGTTGCAGGTCAATCAGGCGCCATCTATTCTGTTAGTGCTCTCCAGCTGAATACTGAGTTGGTAGTGTGGTAAAAAATTCACTCACACAATTTGGCGCCGTTTGTAGGAAAGAAAGGAGAATAGATGGCCAACAACGGATAGAAGGAGAAAGTTGGGGACGAAATCCCTGCTGGGAATGGTAAACACATTGACCCTAACATGGGGGAAGATGGTTACAACGAGGAGACTCAGGACCAAAATCACGGTAAGGAAGACGTCGGCCAGGAGGGCGACGTACCAAAGAAGTCGGATCGAAGCGGGTATTACAATAAGAATGACCTCCAGGTATGGAAAGATAGATGCTTGCGAAGGGACGAAGAGGTAAAATAGATGGCAAACAAATTGGCTGACCTGCAATCGGTCGTCAATTTTCTGATGCAAAACAATGTCATGCAGCCACCGTTTCCGCTGCAGGACACGCCGATTCCAACAGCCAATGCCCAGAAGGGAGGGCAGAAAACAATCCTTATAGCCCCCTAACACACCAGGAGCGAAAGACACTCTCACCGGCCCTCGAGGGAGGTCGGGCGAGGAGAGTCGAAGAGGGAAGAATTTCAAATGACACATCGACAAAGGAGGCAAACCCCAAAGAACATCGGCATGTTCAAAGGCAGGCGTTGTGCTTCAACACAAGTAATGGAGAGAGGTCGAAGAGGGCTTACAGCGAAACTGAAAGTAGTGCACCAAAAAGATTGAAATCAGGAGATAGCCGAGCTCATGGGCGGATAAAGGAGGACTTGAGAAATTACCTCAAGAGGAAGCAACAAGATGCCGAGGTAACTTCCCCTATCAAGCCAAGAACACCATTCTCGGTAGAGTTGGATAAATTTGAGGCCTCAAAAAGATTCAATATGTCGAGGTTCCAGATATACGACAAAAAGTCGGACCCCAACTTTCACGTCGGATTATACCTGAACTCGATGGCACTATACATTGGGAACGAGCTGTTGCTCTGTAAGGTGTTCCTCACATCCTTCAGGGAGATCGCATCAGATTGGTTTCACAAACTGCCAAAGGGAAGTGTGAAGACTTAGGAAGGCCTGGCCGAGATGTTCGTGGCTAGGTTCGTGACAAACAAACTACAACCATTAAGGGTAGACGCCTTGATGGCTCTGAGAATCAGTAAGGATGAAGGCCTTAGGGCCTACGCTAAAAGCTACTATGAAGTGTTTAACAGAATACCTGAGTGCAATCAAGAGGTGGCGGTCGTATCTTTCAAGAACGGCCTAAAAGATGACTATCCACTACGAAATTCTTTGGCAAAGACATTGCCAAAAAGCATGGAAGAGCTCATGGCCAAAATTGAGAAGTATGCCAGAGCCGAGGAAGACACGTCAGGAACTAAGAAGACAAAGCAAGAGAAAGGAAATGGCTCGCCGAAGCGAGGTCGAGGTAACAGCGGATCCAATAAGCAAGAGATAGGACTGAGGGCTGCACAAGCAGTCACAACTGTGTTCTGAATCCGAATTTATAAAGTCCTGGACAAAATCCAATCTCAACCCTACTTTAGAGCACCAGCTAGGGTGCTAGGAGAATTTATAGGAACAAGCCTTGGTAAGCATTGTGCTTACCATAACGAAGATGGGCATATGACTCAGGGTTGCAGAGCCCTGAAGGCACACCTGGAAGACTTGGTAAGGTAAGGCCATTTGAGGAACCTTGTAGATGAGGCCAGGAAAAAGGAAGAGCAGGCAAGACTGCCTCAGGCACCAGCAGTTCCGCCTCCCCTAGTACAGCAATCTCAGGCAGGAGGACC